TGTCCTTATTTTTTCCAGCATCTTCATCTAAAATGCAGGAAAAGTTCACATCCTTAAAAAAAAAATTGTAATTTCTGCTGGAATAAAGTGATATAAGTTGATATGCCAAAATATCTCAGACTTAATATATAGATTTTAGACCTCTAAGTATTATTATAATATATAAATGTAAAATGTATGACGGTTATTTTAGTCATTTGACTTGAGGTTACTATGAGATTGAACTGCATTTAATAAAATTATAAATATTGTTCTCATAGAGCATCATGGGTAAATTATGTTCTGTTATAGTTTTTAGCATCAGCTGTTTATAACTTCTTAATTCTATACTTGCATAAGATTAAATACATGTTTCTGATGTAAAACTGAAACTTGGATTGCTTCTAATTTTTTTATCAGCTACATTGAATTTTCTTCATTTTTTCAAAGTGTTTCTTTGAGAAATAATAGTTGTAATTTGTAAAAGCATAATACTTTAATAAATAGAATGATGTCTAGACTTTTATTATTAACACTCGACCCTCACAGCATACCATTTCATACCACAGGTTTATGTCCTACACAAATTCAGATATTTTTTCTGTCATAGGCTTGCAATTTGACTAACTGACTGTATAAGTTCTTGAATATTAAGGTAAACTCATATATATTAATATAATACATTAATTGTATTTATGATGACAGTATATGATATACATCAGATGTAGTGTAGTATTTTCATGCACACACACACACACACATATAGGTGTGTGTGTGTGTGTTTTTAACAAAAATATATAAATGTTTCAACCCATGGATATAAATATAAAGCATACCAACACTTTAACTCTTTTGTATTTTATTTTTGTTTTAATACATACATTTTCTTATTTCCCAGTATTATGACTGCAAAGGTCATTCATCAGAACATAATGTTTAACAACAAGTTTACTGTCTTTTCTTCCATTTCCAGTGATCCTTGGGGCCCCTAAGTTTGAATTGCATTAATATTTTTATAAATTGTCGTATTGTAGTACAAATATTCATAAAATAAATATAATCATCATTTACAAACCTGACATTGTGAAATTGGTATAAACTCTAGAACCTTTGACTTAGGGCAGCCAGTAACTTCTGGAACCTCCATTTGTTCACTCAGTTCTATAAATATACCTAGGCCTATGTCTTCTCTTAGAAATCAACGTTTGAACCTGAAAAAGCTGTTTGTAAGATTTTGACTTATGTAAAAATTGCAACACTAATTTTTCAATTTTGTGGATTGTAGACTAATATGTAGGGGTATGAATTACTTTGACTTAATTTTTCACTCTGATTATCAATAAATTCAATTGACTAGTTGAAAAACTAATAACCATGATAGTCTGAAGAAAATGCAATTCACTTTCAAAACTTGCTTTGTAACAGACCTTTTATATTGTTATTTGTACTACTGAAGTGCATGTTAACAAACCAGCTAGAAGTGTTTCATAAATATATAAAAACAGGCATAAGAAACTTACTTTAAAGAATTGAAAAGTTTATGTGAATAGGTCTATATTATTTAATATAGTAGAACTGTTCTTTATGTGCTGTTGTCGTCTTATTCAATTGTTCCAACTAGAAAAATATCCTATCAGTATATTGTTTCAATCTCACAAAGAAAATAATTCAGTTTAAAAATATTTCTCTGCACTTAGATTATTATATGAGTATTGATTTTTGTTTAGCTATTCTGGATGCATAAGCAAATAATAGCTTTATATAACTTGTTTAAAAAGTTGAATGACAACGTTCTTTGACTGTGTTTCCCAGCAAGTAATAGGAAACTCAGCTATTAAGTTAGTACTAATCATACTGTTTTTTGCTGAAAATTCTTTGAATTTAACTGAATAGCAAGCATGTAAATTAACTAGACCCTATATTAACTGTTTAGTTAATTAAATACAGAATAAACAATTATTAGGGTTTACCTTGTTTTCTGAATACCGTAGAGAATATATACGTGCACAAACACACGCACACACATATATATATATACACACATGCACACGCACACATATATATATACACACACATGCACACACACACACACACACACACACACATATATATATATACATATATATATATACACCTAGGAAAAAAGTTAAGCACCCTCGTTTGTTTTTTTCAAGTGATTCAGAATCGACGTTCTTGTGACTGATTATAAATTACCATTCAATCTAAACATGTTTATCAAATGAAATTATGCATTATTGGGCACAAGAAAACAAGATTATCACCGTAAAATAACAATTTTTAATTTACATATCATGACATCAAAATATGGACAGTTTTCATGCTTAAAATTATCTTTAATAAGTATTG